TGTGTCTATATATATATATATATATATATATTCACTTATACATAAAATTTATGTTTATTATACATTCCTACTTGGATGCATGTACACGTATAGAAATTTGTAAATATGAATATATGATACACAAATGCAAACATGTACAATGCCATCATGTTGATTTGACTATCTCCGAGCCCAAATCAAGTGTCATTCTAGGCCTGCCCGTCCTTTTTATGTGCATTTGCTGTCTAGCCCACGGATTATTTGAAGTCAGCCAAAGAATTCTTAGGATTGCCAAAAAATTTAAGTTCGGCAGCATTACATCAAATATTTTGGGGGAAGTGTATGAAACATTTGGAAAAAAACAAAGTGGTACCTGAATGCACATATGGAGTTCGGACAAATTTTCACCCGAAGTCGAGCAAGAACCTAAGAGGATTGAAAGGGATCATCCTTGAACAAGAAAATTACATCGTAATTTGAATTTCGATGAAACAATACATCAATGAGAAGTTATTTTAATAAGTTTATAATTTTTTTTTGTTTTTTTATTTTCTACATTATAGAATAGAGGTAAGGGGTAGGGGGCAAAACCCATTAAAAAAAAAAAGGATTAGAATCAATATATTGATTTTTTTTTTCACAATTATTTTGAACCATATGCATGCAAAAAATTGATTTTTTTTCACAATTATTTTGAACCGTATGCATGCAAAGGTGCACGTTCGATTCCTCGGAGATACAATTTTGTCATAATCAACCGACTTTATCGAGAAAGGTTAAATTTTTTTAGGCCAAGAGGGAGATCTCGAATCAAATTGTTGGTCTCATGATATATCTCAATATAGAAGATGATAGTAGGGATGTTTATTTGTATATCAATTCTCCAGGTGGATCAGTTATACCGAGAATTGTTATTTATGATACTATGCAATTTGTGTTACCAGATGTACATATAATATGTATGGAATTAGTCACTTCAAGGAGAATTTTCATAAGAAGAAATTGCCAAACGCCTAGCATTCCCTCATGATTGGCGTCAATGAGTTTTTTTTTTTATATGAGAAATAAAAAAAAATATTATCCATTTGCTATATAGAATATGAATCAAATAAAGAATAAGTAATAATAGGATGACACTTCAAGTTTGATATTAACAAATCATTATTTTTTTTTCTAACATGAGGTTTTGTACTGAAATAGTTGTATAAAAGAAGGGTTATTCCCAATTTAATTTGCTATGTAAACCAAGAGTCAATTTCAGCTTCACAAAACATTATTCTTCCTGAAGAGAAGTCACTTTCCTTATTTTCATGTTATGCGAGGAAAGTGTTATCGCTGGAGACCTTTCACGTTAACGCCTCCCGCTCTCTAGATCGCGAACGACGCGCCCGCTCCCGCTCCTGTTTGCGAAGGGTCACGTCTCCTCCTGTGCCGCGAGAACTGCTCACGCTTCTATTTTAGTAAAGGATCGCGTCTCCCGCCCGACTCGAACTGTTCCCGCCTTTTCTATTTTGCGAAGCGAAGCATCCCTTCGCTCCATTCTTTTCGTGATAAAAGAGCGGCCCTCATTCTGATTTTTTAGTTATGTGAAGTAATGGTGTTCTTCGGCTTTCCTCGGGATAGAGGAAGGCTTCCACGGGGCCGTGGAAGAGAAGAAGTGCAAGAGGTAGTTCCTTGCGGCTGAAGGAATAAAAAAGAAGAAGAAGATTGTTCTCTCTAGGCTTCTTCGTGGTGACTTGTGACAGAAGAGAAATTGAGTTTATTTCTCTTGTACGTATTTATTCTTCAGTGTATCTCGGTGTAGAGAGAGAAGAATAGAGAGAGCAACGAAGTAGAAGTGAGAGATTCCTCTTGTAAGTCGAGGTGAACGACTGATGTAAATTCTTCAATTAGTAAAATTCTCTGCAACTCCGTGGACGTAAGCAATTTGTCAAACCACATAAATTTGTGTGTTCCGCTGTGTTACTGTTTTCTGGTGTGAATTTTGCTTCGTCGATCGTTCTCCTATTTGATTTTATTTTATATACCATCACAAGTGATATAGATTGCTAAACAGCAAAACCATCATAGGCACAAGCAATTTTATTTTTGTTATAATTAATAAATAAATCATTTCGCAACAGGTACTTCATGAATTATTGGTGGGGACTCATGCAACCAAAGTTAACTTGTAAGGGTCCTCCTCTCAGCAGTCACGATTCGCCACCCCCTCATCCATCCAATGAAATACATAAATTTTACAAAAATCAGGGGCCTTTCCGTGATACAATTTAAATAAATAATTATATATATTTTTTAATTATTTGTCCCGAAGGACAGACCCTAATTGGAGGTTAAAAATGTTAGCAGGTATGACACCCTGTTCACAGTTTAATTTATTTAAAATGTTACTATTTATAGTAATTTGAATCCCACCCCACCCTAAATATTTCCTTTTATTATCCTATGCTGTGGTATCTGAAGGTTTTGAATATATAAATCATGGCAGAGATGAGGGAGTGATGAGTTCCTCGCTGTCATAAATATTATTGCTTATTTATTTATTTCCCCATTTCTCGATTTAAACAAAGGCCCGCTTTTTTATATAAATGCCCCTCTCGCTTCTTTAATGCCTCTATCTAGAGCCGACTGGAGAGGAGTGTGATGGAGTGTTGCGGCTGCAACAGAAAAGGGCAGATTTGAAGAGGAGATTGAAGAAGAAGAAGAAGTAGAGTGAGTGAGTCTTTGTTTATATTTTTTGCTTTTTCAAAAAAATGTTTTTTCTTTGTTTATTTCTTTAATCGGTGTACGGAAGTTGTTGTAAGCGCAGCGAGAACTGATTCTTTGTCCATTTTTTTGAAAAAAAAAAAATTGATTTTTGTTTAGGTTTTCTTGTTTAAAAACCTCATCTTTGATGTGGGTGTTGGTTTGTTGGGTTAGGTTTCTGTTGGTGCTTGAAGAGCTTTGTTTTCTTTTATTTTATGTTTTTACAGGCAAATGAGATTTTTTTTAGCATTTTAGTTTTAAATGAAATGATTTTTTCTTTCTAGTTTTGGTACTTATTCAGTTATCTATATCTTTTTTATTTTTTTTTCTTTTTGTTTTGCATGATAAATCTTCTGTAATTTTGTTCAAACTTTTCTAAGCATCTTTGTCTTTCACAAAAGGCATTTTCAGAGTGAGTAATCAGTGGCAATGGAGATAGAAAACTACACACATCGAGTTCTGCAAAGAATTCATAAAATAGAACCAGAAACTGCAACAAAAATTGTCGGCTATCTTTTATTGCAGCGCAGTAGTGAAGAAATAATGGAATACGCCATGGGAGATGAAGAACAGATACATTCCCTTATTGCTGAGGCAAAGTCTTATCTCATCTCATCACTCAAACTCAACTCCTCTGAACATCGGCATCCATTTATCTCCCATTACCTTACTGTTCACCGACCATGCCCATCTCCTTCAAGCTTTGGCGTGCCAGCCCCTCTTCATCTACCATCAAATCACCAACCCTTTATTCAGAAAATGGACCATTTTTCTCATAACAATGAAGTTTGGGGGATGGAAGACCAGTTGCAGCCCTCCAGCCCAATAAGTTTTGATCTACAAGGCAATTTCTATCATTCCGATGCTGGTTTCGGCGCAAGAAACCGGCCACAGTTGAGCTGCCATTACTTCTACCAAGGTTACTGTAAACATGGACAAAGCTGCAAGTTTTCCCATGGTGCCAATCCAGATATGTTCAATCAAATGTCTGGATTTGGCTTGAATGAGTTAACCATAGAAGACAATATCTTCTCTCCGGGCTGTCTTGAGAAGCTTGAGATGGAGATTGCCGGAATATTGAAAGAGAGGAGGGGTTTACCGGTTACTATAGCCTCATTGCCTTTGTTGTATCAAGAGATGTATGGGAAAGCTCTTCAGGCTGAGGGTTATCTCACTGAAAGCCAAAGGCATGGAAAAGCTGGTTTTAGCTTGACAAAGTTGCTTGCACAATTGAGGAACATTAGGCTTATGGATAGGTATGTTTGTGTTTGGATAGTTGGTTTGATTTGTATGAGTTGTTGTTTCGGAATTCATCGTTCAATATTCGTGTTTTTAGGCCTCATGGGCAGCATTTTGTGGTACTGGCTGAGGATGCTCCGAAATACATGGAATTTATTAGTGAAAGAAATGACCATGGAGCTTCTAGTTCTCATCAGATTTATCTAACTTTCCCTGCTGAAAGTAGTTTTACTGATGCTGATGTTCAGAATTATTTCAAGTAATGATTTCTTTTGATTTGTTTCTTCAATCATGGGTTCTTTTGCTTCTGTGGAAATAGGAATATTTGCATACATAGCCCACAATTGTTTTGTATTTACATATCTGAAACCTTAACTTTCATATTACCACAGCACTCAAATTTTATATATTACTTCAATAATGGCACTATTACCCCCTTTTAAAAATTGAAATACACATTTTCATGCATCGGGTTAAAGCGCCAAAGCGATATATCCTCGGTTTAAAGTGCCAAAGCGATATATATCTGTAAAGTATGAAAGCTTTGGTGTGAGATATGTAAAATATGTAAATTCCCTTGAAAATATTAATTTTTAATTTGATTTTGTCATGGTATATTGATATACTACTTTTTTTTTTGTTCATTTAGCCAATTTGGTCCTGTTCATGATGTGAGGATTCCGCGGTCCCTTGAAAATATTAATTTGTAATTTGATTTTGTCATGGTATATTGATATAGTACTATTTTTTTTTTGTTGATTTAGTCAATTTGGTCCTGTTCATGATGTGAGGATTCCGCGGCAGGAGAAAAGGATGTTTGGTTTTGTGAGCTTCTACCGTCCTCAGACCGTGAGGCAAATTTTAGCAATGGGTCATCCCCATATTATTTGTGGTGCTCGTGTTCTTGTCAAGCCCTACAAGGAAAAATCAAGATTGGTTGAGAGGTACCACTCAAATTAAGAACATTTTTTTATCTTAGTCCGTCTTGGATTAAATTTTTTTGGGGCATTTACATACATAGCACTCGATTCTTAGGATTTATGTATCGCACACCAAAAACTACCATATTTGCATGCACAACACTCAATTCTTTCTTATCACACCAAAAATAGCACTAATTATCACATTTAAATAGTAAAATCCACCTTTTCATGCATAGGTAAAGTGATGTGCGTGTAAATATGGAAGTTTAGCTGTGAGATACATAAATCCATAAGAATTATGTGCTGCATATGTAAATTTTCGAACTTTTTTATATTTTATATATTACTTTTATAAGATATGAACAATTTAGATGGAGCTCACTTTGATATATTTGTAAGTGTTAGAAGGCAAAATATTAGATCTTTATTCAATTTTCTTTCTAGTACATGCAGATATGTGTCTACGTATAAGCAAGAGATGTTGTAATATTTTTTAGGAGCATTTACATACATACTATACCACTCAATTTCTATGTATTTACATCTCGAACGCCTAAAGCTTATTTTTTACACATCTACCATCCAAAATCTTTCATATTAAACTTTCTTCGAATATACCATCCAATGTATATAACTTTTAAAAAGTGAAACAGACCTTTTTCTTACATAATGTGGCATATATGTAAGAATTGAAGTTTAGGTGTTAGATGTGTAAATACGTAGGAATGAAGTGGTATGTGTGTAAATTTTTCATATATATTTTTTTTAAAGGTATCAGTTGACTAATAAACATCTTACATTTGCTAATAAAATGACATCAAATGGCAGATGTCAGTGTGCTAAATGACCCCTCTGGATTTTATTCATATTTTTTGCTCTAGAAAATCTGATAGCATTTTTCTTGTTACCAAATGTTTTGCAGGAAATATGCAGAGAAGTTGGATTCTCAGATGTGTCTCTCTCCTCTTTCTTTTGACATGGACAATGGTCTAAGCTCTAGTATGTCCAAAAACTATATTATTTATTTGCTATTATTATTATTATTATTATTTGGGTTTATTTGCATATATTCCACCCAATTCTTATATATTTACATATCAAACTTCTAAATTTTGCTATTTATACTTACACCACCCAAATACTTCATATTACATAATAAAATACCCCCATTTTAACTCTTAAAAAGTGCAATACACCTTTACATGCATAGGTAAGTTGATATGCATGTAAAAATTGAAGTTTTGGTGTTACATCTGCAAATACATAAGAAATGAGTGGTTTATATGCAAATCTTCCTTTTTAATATTTATTTTTATGTTTATAATTTACAGCACTAACAATGCAAATTATTTCTTAGCCCTTCATTCATCTTTAGGACAAAGAGCATGTGATACTTCTCAGTTATCTATGAAGCAGCAGATTGAAGACTTAGATCCAACCTTTGATCTGAAGAGAAGACAAATGCCTGTTGCTGCACATCCTTTCATGGGGTATGGGTTGGAGGACTCCAAGTTTCTAGAAGGTCTCTTAAATTTATCATTTTATTTTTATTTTTTTTAAAGTTTATATAAGTTATTTGAAGTTGATAATTTGCTCATCAGATTGATGAACTCTTGATTTTCATAGCAGCGCAGGTCAGCTCATTGAACATTGCATCATCTAAAAGTTCAGATGATGATAATACTTGTCAGACAGGCAGCAGTTGCAGTGATGTGGATAGGTAATAAATCTAGATTTTATGATTCATTATATGAAGAAATATGCTTGGATTAGCATATAAATCAAGGTTTTGTTTGGGGAAAGTTTATCGCTGTTTTGCTTTTTAGACCTCTGACATTTGTCTATTTAGCTATTTTGGCTTTTGTGCTGTTTTTTAGAAATTTTTGGTGTTGAAAAGTAGAATTTACCAGTCTGATTTTTATAGAAAGGAAAAATTTTGGCATGGCTGTAAAAACTTTTAATAAAGTTGCTTTCCCCATCATAGCTCAGTTATTTAATATAAATAAGAGAAATTTACATACATACCGCACAATTCTTATGTATTTTCACATCCAACACCCAAAGTTTGATATTCACACTTATAACATATTGGAGTCGGAAACTTACATGAAAATGCATATTTCACCTTCAAAAAGACATTGATTGTGATATTTTTGATGTGATGTTAAAAATTTGAGTGATATGCATGTAAATATGAATGTTTAGGTGTTAGATATATAAATACATGGATTGCAGCCGCCCCAAACAAACGTTATGTTAAATAGCTCAATGTATGATAATTGAATTTCATAAGACACCAATATGATTTTGTCATTTTACAAAAAGTTCTTTATTTGTTCTCTCTAAAAGATCTATTTTTTAACTTGCAGACTCCAGATTCAGTTGCCAGACAGCCCTTTTGCGTCTCCTAGATTCGGATCGAACAGTCTTTACACAGTAATATAGAGAAGAAAGTGGACAGTAGGGTAGCTTATAGAGGTACAGTTTCTTTGAGAGTTCTATAGCCCGCAATTATAATATCAGAAAGTTCATAATCTTTACAGGTTTTTCATGGAAGCCAACAAAGTTTTACACAAATGTTATTTGAATAGAACAAACTTTATACTTGCTTTACATTATTATCACAGTGAAACTCTCATTTTGTTTTGAGAACCTGATAGTTGTATTAACTTTAGTTACAAAGGTGCTATTGGACATTTAGTGGTTGCTAGGAATTACTTGGCTGCTTTGAAAGTTTTCAAAGTAATAGATGCAAGACATGTTTCCTCTCTCTCTCTCTCTCTCTCTCTCACTATCTTTTATATATATGTATGTGTGTGTGTGTATGGATTAGAGTCCGACTTTATTGCAAATGTGGTATTTTATGCTGATGGTATTTTATGCCATTATTGAAAGCTGCTGTGATCATTAGAGCTTGTTTCTTCTGCATGATTGGGTCTGTTTTCGTTTTTTTTAAAGGAGTTATCAGTTTGTTCATCATCATATACTTTCCTTTTTCGAAGAAGTCTTTCTTCTAGATCATGTGAATGATCGGGAGAAGAGAGAAACCGAAAAAGTAGGACATACAATAAAGGCGGAAAAAGAAAAGAAAGAACGTGAAGAATCAATCGTGCAACAACCTCGCTAGAATATGTCAAGCTCATACATTCGAACAAGATTCAATCGAAATAACTTGTGTCAAATATCTGCGAAAGAATATCTACGAAAGCTACCCGCAATCAGAGATTCAAGTGTGTTTGTCTGTTATGGGGTTCAAAGTGCTTCCAAGAGGATGTATCTCAATTGGTTAATTACATCTTGGAGGTTGCTCAAGAATACTCTTGATATAAGGTGCTTTGCTTACATTTAAAGTGATAACTAGGACATGACTATCAAAGGACAGTTATTTCACAGGGGAATGCTCCGATGCTTTCAAAGTTCCCGTTGAGCCACGGAGAGTGAGTCTTTCACGGTCTCACATGGGTAACAGACTCATCGACATATGGACCATGCGACATAAGAAACTCTCTTTGTCACAAAGAGTTTCCATCGAATCTCCAAGTACTGGCCTCCGCTCCCTATGGGTGATGAAGCTCTCCCTCTATTTTCTCTGTCCGAGACGGTGGTCGAGAAAGAAAATGCGAGAGGAAGCAAAATGAAGAAAAATGGAGAGACGGAGTAAGAAGAAGAAGAATGGAGTAGCTCTCTGAGAACTCTCCAAAAACTCTGCAAACAGATTTGTGATCGTTCCTCAAGCTCTCTGCCTCTCCCTCTGTTTCTCGAACCAAGACAGTGATCGAAAAAGAAAATGTGAGAGGAGGAAGAAGAAAGAAACAAAGAAGAAGAAGAAGAAGAATGCCGGTGAAGTTAGCGCCTCCCCGAAACTTTCAAAGGCTCTCTGTGATCACTCGTGGTTCTACTAAGTGAAACCAGTGCAGGAAGGATACTCACAGATTTTCAAATGACCACTTGCCTCTTTTGGCAAGCGCCCAGGTTAACTCAGAGGCCATTTTCGGTTTAGGATCGGTCCAACAACTTATCCCAGTGGTTGGAAGGCGTTCTGACGAAAGAGTAGGTACAAGGCAATGAAATAGGCTGATTATCCTTTGCGTTGCCACACGACAAATGGGGTGTGGCCACCCTTGGGCATGGCCATGCCTAGTCTACTTGGGGCTATTTCCTGTTTTTTGGTAATTCTGGTCACGTGGCAAAACCCAAAGGCCCTTCTTAAGTGAAAATGACGTTTCAGACACATTCGCGTTGTTCGTTTCGTCATCTGGAGTTATCTAAAGGATAACTCGTTATGACTAAACCAATTTAGGGCTTGATTAATGATTAGTTAGCGTTGCGCCGAACAAAACTTGTCTGATCGAGGCCGTCCCATCAATGTAATGTCGAATGTCCCTCTCCTCATCGACAACCAAAGCCTAGTAGAACGAACTTGGCCACACGTCAGGGATTGAAGACGGGATGTTTTGCAGCTTGGGGAGTCCTATTTGCGTGAAGCATACCTTAAAGTTGTTCTTGCGGACATCCTATACACGTGACATAAAAAATTGACACCAATAAGACCATAAATATTTATAAGCCGTCCTTATGCTACTAATTCTGCTTCAATTGTATCTGTTGTAATTGATGTCATTGATTGTTTTATTTAAAATTTCATGCCAATGATAATATAGCCAAGTAATTTTTCTCAATAATTTTTTAGGGAAATTTGCATTAGTAGCACAGAATTATTATATATCCACATATCTCACTCTTATATTTGATATATACATGACATTTTGGTGCTTCAAACATATACATAAAAAAATATATTTCACTTTTAAAAAATAATAATGATGTTATTTTTGACGTGATGTGATATTAAATATTTGTGTGATGTGTGTGTAAATATGAAAGTTTAGGTTTGAGATGTGTAAATACATAAGAATTGTGTGCTATGTATGTAAATGCCACTATTTTTTTATAGTTTGTTTCTTTTTAAGAGATAATATGCTGCGTTCCTTTCTTTTGTTGGGAAAAAACTTGCATATACATAGCGATGTGTACGTCAGTAACCTATTATAGGAGGGTATTGGGGGATTATATCTGCGTTATACCCCCTGTAACCTCTCTGTAACCTATAAATATATGAAAACAGAAGCGCAGAACCAACTAGAAGGTACAAATAGGTTATAGGGGATATAACATGGTTATAACCTCCCAATTCCTTCCTTCTAATCTATTTATAGGTTACTGAGGTGAGCAAATTTTTTTCCTTTTGTTGGGCGTATCAGCTTGCTGCTTTAGGTTTGCTGTAATTTCCAATTATTTTTTACTGTTGGTTTGAAAAGTTTTATTTTTAATATTCTCTGGTGAAGTAACCGAAGGTAAATAAGTGAAGTATATACATAAACAAAGTTAAAGGGCATTTAATTATCAACAAAATAGGACTTAAATAATTTACATTATTGACCTCGGAATGGAAATCAAATCATTTGCATTATTGTTTTCCTAAAGTTTCAAAATCAAATGGTTGACAATTGGGAATTCTTCTTTTCACATATCGTTTTATTAATCTATATATATATATATATATATATATATACGGGTTGTAGATATGTAAATATCAAAAGAATTGAGGGATATGTATGTAAATATTCACATTTCAGAATGTAACAGCTGTATGAAATTAGATTCGGCCTCTGTTTAAGAAAAGAAGTTAACTTTCACAATAAATTTTAAAAAATTTACACATAACATTCATCTTTATAAATAATTACAACTGTGCCCAAATTCCGTAAAGAGCATGTATAATGAATGCTTACATGATAATTATTTTTTGGGGCAATTACATATATACCATTTATGTATTTACATATCCCTGAACCTAAATTTTACCTCTCACAATTATACCATCAAAGTCCTTTCATATCACATAAAAAAATATTACTATTTTAACTTAAATGATTTTTTTCATACATAAATGAGGTGACATAGGTAGGGCTGTTAAAACGGTTCGTTATTCTCGAACAACTCGTATTTGGCTCGTTATTCGCAAAGTTAACGAGCCGAACACGAACAATACTAACAAATATTTGTTCGTTCGTATTCGTCTCGTTTTGACTCGAAATACTATTAATTAATTATTTTTATATATATCTTTGATGAATAATATTTTTAAAAAATTTAATTGACTCAAAGGCTTCAAAAATTTATAATCAATTAAAAGTATTAATGAAGAAAATATAATAAAAAAATATTAAATTAGATTCAAATGATGTTTTAAATCTTGCCCTAATTCGTAACATCTTATGACTACGTGATTAGGGTTGTCAAAACGAGTCTTTATTCGTGAACGACTCGTGTTCGGCCCCCTAAACAAACCAGCCATGAGCCGAATACGGACACACTTTTTGAGCTAATATCAAATCAAAATAATTTTTTGTCAAATTTATGTGAAAGAATGCCTATAAAAGCTGCACACAACCAGAGATTTATATGTGTTTGTTTGCTCTGAGGTCCAAATTGCTCCTAAAGGGATGTTTCTTATTTGATTAATTACATCTTAGGTGTTATATATAAAAATCTTTCCTTATTATTATTATTTAATTTTGTTGCATAACATCAACAGCAAATTAAATAACATCATGGCAGAAACTCACTCAATTGTCGGAAACCTTTATAGTAAAAATCGCTTGAAATGCAGCAGCTGTCACGCAGATTCTGCTTTTCTAAAAGCAGGTTTCAGACATAATAACACAAAAGCTAGAGGAAAAATATTCCCAAACATCCCACGTGAAGCTTTAGCATTCCCACCATGAAAAAGAAGCTTTAATTGGTTGCGTTTGGCTTTATCGTTTGGGGCATGAAAGGCTGAGAGAAGGCAATGTGTCTTCTCCAAGTGGGTTTGCCACTTGATCTTCTTCTTTTTCTTTATTTTTGTTTTTATTTATTTATTTATTTTTTAATGACGAGTATTTAATTATAATATATATATATTAAAAGAATTGGACAGAAGTTGTTACAAACCTCCAACAAATCATAATGTGTCTAACAATTTGAGTACCACCTATTAAAAGAATTGGACAGAGGTTGTTACACAAACCTCCAGCAAATCATAATGTGTCTAACAATTTGAGTACCACCTTTTAAGGACAATTGCACTAGAGGGGATTCAAACCCAAAACCTGAGGGGTCTTATACCGTGGTAGCCAACCAACATGACGGGATACGCGACACAGTATTTACTCATAATATGAACACATAATATGTGGCCCATTTTATTTCTAATCAATGTAAATTTTTTTAAAATCAGACGAATAAATGAACAAGCTTGAACATTGATCATTATAAAATGCTCATTAAATGCGACTTAATTACTTATTATTTTATTAATGCTCTGTTATTATACCAATTTTTTTTAATAATTTATGCACTTTAAAATGTTTAAATATTATTCTATATAAAAAATTGAAACATAGATAATAAATAAGTGTTGTTTGTATACATACCCGAAGTATTGCTATTTATAAATCTAACATCCTCTTTCATTCATTTTTCAAATGCTTACTAAAACATCAAAATTCATGATTAAATCCGAACCTATACTTTTTATTTTTATCAAATTCTCAATTGTTTGAATGTGAAATGCATAAATACATCGATTCGGTAATTCGAAATTATCGCATGCGTGTTAGAATTTGTAAATAGCAATGTTATGTACGTAATCATCCTAAAAAAAAATAGCTATTTATGTCAGCTAATATATGCATGAAAAGATGTATTTCACTTTTTAAAAGTTAAAAATAGTGATATATTTTATATGAAAAATTTTGAT